AGAGCAGATAGGCAGCCCAACCGTGATGACGTATGCAAATTTATGTAGTCACGTCCAATTCTGCTTCACATACTGCTTTTAGTGTTCATTATTATGCTTATAAATGAGGATTTGGATCCTGAAAATGTTATTGTTCTTTGCTGAATAAGTCTTCTTTTCTCCAAAAGGTGCCAAGAGTTGCCTAATGCCTGGACAAACTGTCACCTACTTTGTCTGTGAAGGAAATGTGCTTCTTACTTCCCAAAAGAATTTTACTATACTTCAAAAGTTTTGCATGAGCCAGAAGTGAACTAAGAGTTTCTCAGAAGGGCCTTCACCAGAGAAAGAATAAGGTGCTCTTCTGGTGACTACTGGATTACTTCTGTTACAGCCCATCCTGTGGTTCAGCTCCAGCAGCTTATCCAGCAGGCTGATCCTAGCCTGCACAAGATCCCAATCCCCATAATCAGTTCATGGGCACAATGTAGAGCACAGCAGTCCCGTGGGGATCGTGGGGCTGTACAAACCTGCTGACAAGTGTACGCATTTTCACGATCAATCTTATCTCATATGCTGATCCTTAATTTAAAATTGGCCAAGTAGCATAGTGACTGGGCAATGCCTCAGCAGACTGAAGCATTTGATAAATAGCTAGCTTCTTTCCCATACATGCCTGCTCAACAACAGGTAATCACGTGGCAAATGCACCTGGGTCGGGGCAATCTCAAGCACAACTACAGACTGGGTGGAGACTGGATTGAGAGCAGCCCTGAGGAAAACTTGGAGGTGTTGATTGACGAGCAGCTCAACATGAGCCGGCAGTGTGCGCTCACAGCCCAGAAAGCCAACTGTATGCTGGGCTGCATCAATAGGAGCAAGGCCAGCAGGTGAAGGGAGGTGAGTTTGCCTCTCTGCTCTCGTGAAACCCCACCTGCAGTACTGCATTCAGCTCTGGGGACCCCAACACAAGAGGGACATGGAACTGTTGGAGTGACTCCAGAGGAGGCCGCAGAGATGTTCTGAGGGCTGGAACACCTCTCCTATGAACACAGGCTGAGAGATCTGGGCTTGTTCTGCCTTGGGAAGGCTTGGGGTAGACCTCATAACAGTCTTCCAGTACCTGAAGAGGGCCTACAGGAAAGCTATGGAGGGACTTTTTTCAAGAGCAAGTAGTGACAGGATGAGGGGGAATGGTTTTAAACTGAAAGAGGAGAGATTTAGATTAGACATTAGGAAGAAATTCTTCACTATGAGGGTTGTGTGGCACTGGAAGCCAGAGAAGCTGTGGCTGTCTCATCCCTGGCAGTGTTCAAGGCTAGGTTGGATGGAGCTTTGAGCAACCTGGTCTAGTGGAAGGTGTCCCTGACCATGGTAGGTATTCTTTAATCATAGAATAGTTAGGGTTGGAAAGAACCTTAAGATCCTATAGTTCCAACCCCTCTGCCATAGGCAGGGACACCACACACTAGACCGTTTAAGATCTCTTCCAACCTAAACCATTCTATGATTCTACTATTCATTCTATGAAATGCAGGGAGAAAATTGATGAGAATCACAAAAGTACTTGAGAAGTAGAACAGGGTTCCAAGACAAAAGGAAAAGCATATATAGACTATTTCCTTAGATGAATGCTACTTTTGCATTTTACAATCTTTGCAAAAGAGAAAGGAACACGTATTCCCCTTTGTCCTCCCCCTGTAAGCACGCAGATCATCAGGGATGTGTTTAGAGGAACAGGCTACCTTGGGGGTACCTAAGAAAGAGTTGGCACACTGGGGGTTAAGACATAGTTGGATACTTCATACTATGTGATGCCAGACCACCTGGCATCAAACTTTTGTTCCAGCATTTTCAAAACAGAATATTACCATCTCAGCTGGCATGGCTCTCTAAGGAGAGCACATCCTGAGAAGTTTCTGTATACCCTTTATATGTTGTGTTTCCTACACTCTTTTTACAGGCAGCACTTTCATTATCTCTTTTCCCTGTTCAGGAAGGTTAACCCAGCTTTCATTCTTCACTAAGATTCCTACTAGTGATATGAGAAACGATATCACATATCGCAGGTGAAACTAGGCAGAATGCTGTGGATCATTCCAGGCTGACAATTCTACAAAACAAAAAAATGTAGAATGTCATTAGCTGGGAATACAGCAGAGAAAAGTCTTCTTTATCTCTCATTAGGCAGGGGTATCAGATGTCAAGCTGTAATGTTTTTCATTGAGAAATCACTTTTTTGGCTTTTCCATGGACTGTGCTCTACTTTACAAAGCAGAATTGTTTATGTGATGACTCTTAGGTTTTGTTTACTAACACAGACTTACTTCACTCTGTTTACTCACACAAAACAGCAGATGATTAGCACCCACATTCCAGAGAATTTGCTGTACCAGGGCACCAGGCCAGTTCCAGTGAGTACAGAGCCCCTGGGCTGACTACAATTAATTCAGTGCTTAGACAGAGGTCTTCAAACATATTGTGTTTTCAGAGGGTTCATAGTAATGGCTTAGAAGAAGCAAGAAATCTTGTTAGCATCCTCTCTGACTCAACATTTACACCTTTTCAAACTTAATTCAATACCTGAGAATCCTTACATAAGCAGGCAAATTCAGTGCAAGCTGGTCTTTGCAAGTTGTGGTGTTCACTGAACAACAGATTTAGGAATGTATGTTTCAGGCTAAACACACACCTTTCAGGTCACTTGTATTTTTATTCTAAGATTACATAACAAAGAAGAATTGTCCCTGAGCAATATGCAAACAGCAGTTCAGAAAACAAGTATCAGGTTTGGAACCAGTAACCACACCAGCTTCTGTACAAGCCAGAGCCGCAGAGACCATGTTCATAGGTAGGAAGTGTTGGGAAAAGCTTGATTTTAATTCCCTTCATCCCAAAATAATGTGGTCACAGCAGTCCCCAAGACAGGCAGCAGTACACAACAAGATCTGTCACAGCCTCAGGGGACAAGAATCCCCCAGGTCCTTGCTAAGTATCTTAACCATGGGTTAGACACCTCTTTATGCCTCCTGCTCCAAGGTGCAATTTAGTCATTCAGAATGTCATGCAAAGGTGCTGTTTTTCATAAAGTAACTCAGCTCCTTAAATACTGCCAAATCAGCACTTAAACATGCTCTCCCACACGTGCAGACATCACACAGCATGCTACTGCTACTCCTTTTATTGGCAAAGGTTTCTGCCAGTCAATCAGTCAGCTAGTGGAGACAGACGAGGAACTGCAACAGAAGACACAAGCAAGTCAGTCAAAGCGGAGGTAAGTTGCTGGTACATGTGCATTCATATGTATTTTTCTCTGCTGCCTTTCTCCGTAAAGATATGCAGCCTTGCCTTTGTGCAGTTGCAAGTCGGAATAGACAGCCTTCATCCTTTCCGATCTGCAAGCCTGATGCTATGCATCAAAGTGCATGTTTGATAGAATTGAGGAGAGGAAGATGTCTTTACCCTTCACAAATGGGAAAAAAGGAGTATCTGATGGTTTCATTTTGTTCTAATTGTTGGGGTTTTTTTCTAAGGATGTCACTGTGGATGCATGATAATCTCAGTATTGAAAGAG